CGGCTAAATCGTCTTAGAATTCCCTACTTTGTAGGGTATAAACTGACAATTTCACGTACGGAATATGACCCCTACTATGATGGAATACGGTTATAAGGGGGGTGAAGATTATTAATTTTTGCGAGGGAGATTTGCTAGCATACAAAATACCAAATTACAGCGAATTCCCCTGAAAAACGCTCTTAAAACTCAAAGTACTAAACTACAGCGAATTCGGTCGAAAATGCGATAAAATCACCTAAAATACTTAAAATTGTGGAGACCGTTATATGGGGGGGCTACAAAAAAAAGTGGACCTATATTTATAATTTTTAGCGGAAGTATTTGCTCCCCAATACAAACCCAAAGTACTAAATTACAGCGAATTCGGTTGAAGAATGCGTTCAAGAACCTCAAATATGGGGTGACCGATTAACCCATCTTCGAACCTGCCTGCACACAGAAGACAAATATATGCTAAATTTTCTCAATTCATTTAGAGGAGACGGACAGCGCCGTAGATTTTTACGCTGATCAAGAATATATATACTATATAGGGTCGGAAATGATTATTACAAACGGAACCAGTTAGGAAAGTAGTAAAGTCGGACTGGGCCGACTATATGATACGCTTCACCACTTTGGGTATATTTTACATATGTATCCGAAAAGACGTCGCTGTACTGTTTAAAATTTAATCTCAATCAGACACCTATTGAATATTTGGCGTACAATTAACATAAATAAGTCGAAATTATATATTGAAGCTAAGTTATATCTATATCTGAACCGATTTCAAGCAAACCTGCCAGGGATCCATACCATAGTGAATCGAACTATGGTATGGATCTTTAGTGTACAATTTGCTTAAAACCATCACATCATTCTAGACTTAATTTAGTACGCTATGCCAATATTCTTGCTAATCAAAAGATTTGCAGAGACTTTGGTGCACCATTTACCTAAAATCGGGCGAAACTATATATGGAAGCTATATCTAAATATGAACCGAGTTTCACGAATCTAATTCAGTAGGCAATACCAAATTTCGTCCATATCGAAAGATGTATAGGGACTTTGGTACACCATTTACCTTAAAACGGACGAACCTACATATGGGCGCTATATCAAAATCTTAACCGATTTTCATGAAACTTAGCACACATCATTCTAGGCCTAATTCAGTAGGCTATACCAAATTTCGTGCAAATCGAAAGATATATAGGGACTTTGGTACACCATTTACCTAAAATCGGGCGATACTATATATGATAGCTATATCTAAATCTGAACCGATTTCCACGAAACTTGGCACAAGTCTTTCTAGACTTAGTTCAATACGCTATGCAAAAATTCGTGCAAATCAAATCAAATTCAGGGACTTTGGTGCACCATTTACCTAAAATCGGCCGCAACTATATATGGTAGCTATATCTAAATCTGAACCGAATTTCACAAAACTTGGCATACATCATTCTAGACCTAATTCAGTAGGCTATACCAAATTTCGTGCACATCGAAAGATATATAGGGACTTTGGTACACCATTTACCTTAAATCGGACGAAAATATATATGGGAGCTATATCTAAATCTGAACCGATTTTTCCCAATTTCAATAGGGTTCATCCTTGGGCCAAATAAGTGAGCTGTGCCAAATTTCATCCAAATCGGATCGTAAATGCGACCTGTACTTTGTTTACAATTTAACATCAACAGACGTACGGACGGACATGCATAAATCGACTCAGAAAGTGATTCTATGCATATTCTGAAAAGGAACCATGGGTCTATCTCGATTACTTTTGCCAGTTACAAACATATGCACAAAGACATAATACCCTGTACCACAGTGTGGTGAAGGGTATACAAATTAATTTAATTTACTATCCAGACTGTGGTGGAGGATATAAACAGGGGATGTATGGGGACTCCCCGAAATAGGCCGAATATTAATCATTTCTGTAGGAAAATCTGTTACCAAATACGAATCCAAAATTCCAAATTACAGCGAAACCGGTTTAAAACGCAATCAAAACCACCAAAATACCGAAAATTTGTGGGTACTGTAATCTATATATATATAAAATAGAAAAAAATTTGTTTGTTTGTTTGTATGTTACCGATAGACGACAAAACCGCTGAAAAGATCTTAATGAGATTTACACTGTATGTCGGGGCATGCCCTGAAAGTAACATAGGCTATATAAACATTTAAAATTTCGCGTGGATGCGGAGTTATAGCATCAATAGTAAACATACCTCAAAATTTCTGAACATGTAATATGCGTTTATCTAAAGAACGGTTACAGATACCGTTTTCAAAATTTGCCTGAATAACGAAGGTGTGAATGCACACCATCCATACAAAAATGAGCATGGTACGATCAACGGAAAATTCACTTTTTACTGCATTTTAAAAATCTGCATATTGAAAATTGAAAATATTTTATTTGTAGACTTTGAAAATGCTGAAAAGATTTTACTGAGATTTTCACAGAACGTCATAACTTGCCCTGTGAATAACATATGCTATATAAACTTCTAAGATTTCCCGAAGATGCGGTGTTATAGCATCGAACGTAATCATACTTCAAAAATTATGAACATGTAATTTGTGTATATCTTAAGTACGGTTATAGATACCGATTTCAAACCATTGCTGAGTAACGTGAGTGTAAATACGCATCATCCACACAAAATGACCACGGACAAGTGAAAATGCACACCTCATTGCATTTAAATCTATGTATACGTAGAAAATAGAAAACTTATTGTTTTGGACTGAAAACCCACTAAACAGATTTTACTAATATGTTCATTGTAAGTCAAGCGATCCCATGGCAGTAACATAGGTTAGATAAAACTGAGGAGTAATAGCATCAAAAGTATAATACATCTTAAAGAATGTACATACATACACATGTCGAACATTTTCTATGGGTATATCTTAGGGTATCATCCGATGAGGATATATTTTCGAACGATAAGGATATGTACATATGTATGTATATTGAAATAAAAATTGTGTAAACTTTGAAAAAATGGTTGACATTATAATTTGCCATTTTTGTCAGTTTGTGAAAACAAGTTTATTTTGAACAAAATCAAACATAATAGTTCCGTTCCAGAACCTAAAAAAATCTTCTAATTTTACAAGTTGTGCCACTTTTTACTCGAAAACCGTCCCTGAACCCACAAAACTGGTAAAACATTGAATAAAATTTAAGAGAACACAAAACAAAATGGCGTTCTTTTTGTAAATTTTTACTCGAGAAATATGGCCGAGTAAAAATAGTAAAAATGAATGCCTACTTCTGATTGGCTGTTATGTTGATTTTGAAATATTGCCCTCCCGAACTTTTCAAATTATTTTGTACTCTGAGAGCGATTTTGAAATATTTCCCTTTTAGTACAATTATTATTAAAAAAGTACTGGAACAGTCCAAATGTTATTTGGATTTCAAAAAAAAGCGATTTAAATATAAATCGTTTTATTATCTGGAAAAAGTCAGAGACTGGGATAGGATAAATTCAGATACACCACAATTTTTTTTAATACTATTTTGTGGTGGAGGTATCAGATGGAGGTGATCGATTGTGTAAAACTGATAAAAAGTATTAATATTATAATTTTTGAATTGCTGTTACTTTTCGAAAAAATTGTGTTTCAAGAAAACAAAAAATTACCACCGTTACAAAAAACAGCATGGACATTTCACACTTTTTTGTAGTGTTAATGCGAGCATATAAAAAATACCAGGGTTTACCTAATTTTAAATTAAATTTTATATTGCATCTGTATATAGGAAGCTTACTAATTGATCATATCTAAATTTTAATTTGATAACTTCAGTAGGGGCAGCGAAGCGCCACGGGTCCCGCTAGTACTCTATAAAGTGTACCGATATTGATAATTATTAGTAGAGAGCTTTCGTATCAAAGAAGAATCCAAAGTATCTAATTACAACCACATTATACCTACTATTTGGGGGTATTTTTATATGGGGGCTACCCGAAAAAGTGAAGCGATATTGATAACTTTCAGTATAGAGATCTTGTACCCAATAAAAATCCAATTTGACGAATCACAGTAAATCCGGTAGAATAACGCCTTCAGTATACCCCAAAATACCTAAAACCTTAAAAACTTTGGCCGAACTTGACTTCCTGACAGACAAAAGGCAACCATATGTAAAATTTTAGCACCCTATCTCAATTCCCTAAGAAGATACCGTGATTACAACAGACTGACATGGCTATATAGTCTTAGAATTTTACCCTGATCCATAATATGTAACTTTATAGGGTCGGAAATAAATATTTCGATAAGTTACAAACGGTATGATAAAATTAATATACCCTACTAATACTATGGTGAAGGTTACAAAAAATGTTCCCACGCTTCTTAACATATTCTGAGAGTGATATTGGACATGTAAAATATGCATATTATTTCAAAATGTCATCTAACATGTACTGAATGTCGCACCTTAATTCTTTTAACAAAAAGGTATTTAACTTCATTGGGCCAAGCCCATTACTTTAGTGTCCTTCATTGTGGTCAGTAAGTATTTGACCATTTAGTTATTGCTTACCATCTGAGTATTGCAACAATGCAAATTTCTGATGTCATTTCCTCTACAAATATGGATTAATTGTTATGGCAATGATCTTGTCTCTCCGCAGCCGTTTTGATTTATTTACTCATAATACATAAATCGTAGAAATAATATATTGTTTCACATTTCATTCACAAGGCGACCAAGCCAATCCTATGTTTAAACGCAGCGCTTGCATTCAAGAAATTTTCTTTTAAAAAATCCGCTATGAACTGCAGCGGCAGTCAGGAAGGCGTTACCTTAACATACTTCACTTTGGTGGTACATAGCTACATGCCGTTTACACTGAATTCCACTTAGACTGTGTCCATGCCAATGATGCCGATATGAAACATGTTTTTATTTTCGTTCTGTTGTTGTAGTTGTTGTTCACACTGACCACTTGTGGTATGCAACATGCATGCTGTTTACTGTCATCGATGTGGAATTGATCTATACGAACCCTGTGATCTCTTGCCATATAAGTTTATTTTGATTCTTAAATGTGTACAAATATGGCAATCGCGCAAAATGCATAAGCCATAAACATATATCACAGATTGTCCTCTATTTTTTCGTTGGTGAAACAATTGATGTTAAATAATGTATTTATTACAATGAAAACCATGTATGAACATATAGTCCAACAATATGACATTGTCGAAAATGTGATTGGCCTTGGAATTATTATAAAGTGAATAATTTGATTCATATTTGGAAGACTAAACATCGGCCCACTTGTTCTGGTAATCCCTCACAAATGTTCAATATTGAAGAAAACGATAAACGTAATAACAGAATAATGGGGTATACAATTTGGTCTAAACCTAATCTAGACCTCAAACAACTGATGTGTTTAATAATATTGATTAAAATTTTGTACACCGCAATGTACATATCCTTCACCACACAGTGGTACAGGGTATTATGTCTTTGTACATATGTTTGTAACAGGCAAAAGGAAACGAGATAGACACATGGTTCCTTTTGAGAATGTCCATAGAATAACTTTCTGAGTCGATTTATGCATGCCCGTCCGTCTGTCTGTCGATATTAAATTGTAAACAAACTACAGGTCGCGTTTATAATCCGAATTGGATGAAATTTGTCACAGCTCATTTATTTGGCCCAAGGACGAACCCTTGAAATTGGGAAAATCGGTTCAGATTGAGATATAGCTCCCATATATATTTTCATCCGATTTTTGTTAAATGGTGCACCAAAGTCCCTGTATATCTTCCGGTTTGGACGAAATTTTGCATAGGGTACTGAATTCGGTTCAGAATAGTTTTTCTTTGAAAATCGTTTCAGATATAGATATAGCTCCCATATGTATTTTCGTCCGATTTTAGGTAAATGGTACAATAACGTTCCTATATATCTTTCGATTTGAACGATATTTTGCATAGTGTACTGAATTGAGTATAGAATGATGTGTGTCAAGTTTTGAGAAAATCGGGTCAGATTTAGATATAGCTCCCATATATATTTTCGTCCGATTTTATGTAAATGGTGCACCAATGTCCCGATTTGAACGATATTTTGCATAGTGTACTGAATTGAGTATTGAATGACGAGTGTCAAGTTTCGAGATTTAGATATATATATATATATATATATACATGGGCAATATTGCCAATTTTTTAATATTCCATTTACAAAAAATCAGCTTTTTTGTTTTTGTGGTACATCAATGATTTTTGGTGCACATGTAGAGAAAAATGTTCTGACTCCGAAACTGTTCGCGATCAAATTTTTGGTTGATGCGCGCAAAAGTTATCGTGTTTTTAATTTTGGGCATAAGAAAAAAATCTTAAAATTACGCTGTTTATTATATTGACCAAAAACGTTGATATATATCTGCCTCCTTAAAATAAGAATATGAATATATTATAATAATCGGGAAAAAGTTGCACATCTTCACGAAATATGAGAACAATAATAATAATATAGGAGACTACGTCAATATTTCCATTATATTAATGATATACACACACCTAAAAATTAATTTAAAAATATCTACATAATCGAAACACCACGATGAATCAAAATCACAAAAGTCTGTGTAGCGGTAAATTATGTAAATTACAGCGACAGCAAAACAAGATGTTGAGGAAAAATATTTGTTTTTGGTTCGAAAAAATAATGTCATCATATTTATTTTTTTAATTTTATACAAGAAATTTCAGAAAATATTTTACCCGAATTTCGCCCAAAAATTGGCAGACATAAAAATAATCACTTCTTGTGTATAAGTATACGCCTTGCGGATTATATCAAGACCCTTCCGATAAATCTTGGATAGGAATAAGTCTTAAAATAAGATAATATTATGCAATATACATTTAAAATTGCGTCAAAATCGCGTAATTCTCAAAATCATTTGATGCGCATGCGGTTTCTGAAGTTTATCTTCCAATCCATGTATATTTTGCGAAATTTCATTAGACGACTAACATATGCTACATGTTGCATTGAAGTACCAAAAATCTCGTAAAACGCGAATAATTTTCGAAAACTCCATATGCCATTAACGCGCATCCGATTTCGGTGTGCACCCTAAAAAATACATAGATCTATACCGATTTCAATGTGGTCCATTAAGAACCATGGATGTGCCAGCTCACACTATTTTTGAGATAACGCATCAAAATAATCATTTCAGACCCTATAAAGTATATATATTCTTGATCAGAATAAAATTCTATGCCGATTTAAGCATGTCCGTCTGTTGTAACCACTCTAGCGTCTAAACGAATGGAGATAGAACGCCAAAATTTTGCATAGAGTTGTCTTTTGTCTGCAGGCAGGTCAAGTTCAAAGATGGGCTATATCGGTCCACTTTTAGGAATAGCTCCCATATAAGGGTACCCCCCAATTTTCGGTATTTTGAGGTTCTTGAGTGCGTTTTTCAACCGAATTCGCTGAAATTTAGTACTTTGAGTTTTTATTGGGTCGCAAATCTCCAAACTAAAAATTATAAATATAGACCAATTTTTTCGGATAGCCCCCATATAAGGGTACCCTCCAATTTTCGGTATTTTGGGGTTCTTGAGCGGGTTTTTCAACCGAATTCGAAATTTTCCGTTCATACCCGACGAAATTTTCAGTTCATACCCCTCATATTATGGAATTCTAAAACGATTTAGTCGATTTAGCCATATGTTGTAATAATTTTTCTCTCGGAGGATATCGACATAAAAACTAAAACGTGAGGTTTGAGAATGAACTGTATCGACCCGCATTTAGCACCAGGTCCTATATAAAACACCCTACCTATTTAATATTTAGCGTGATGGACGGTATTGGGATTAAAAACTAAAATATTAGCTTGGAACATGAGCTACATCGGCCCTTAATTAGACCTAACCCCTTAAATAATGAAAACATCAAGTAGTTGCTAATTCCTACACAATGTTGTCAATATGGGTCCCGCTTTAGTATGCCTCATATATAATATTCCCCTCTAAATTGGAGTATTTTCAACATTTTATACACATGTTTCACCGTACCATGCGTTAATAATATATGTCAACATTTTAGGGTTTAGAGGTTTTAGGAATTGAAATTGCTGAATTTTCTATTTGGTTTATAACAATCGATTGGAAGAATTGTAGTTATATGTACATTCCCTATGTTTTCATTTCAAAAATTTGTCAGTATTTCTATGGTGGAGGGTATCCAAAGTTCGGCCGGCCGAACTTAACGCCTTTTTACTTGTTTACATTAAAGTAGGCACAGCTTCCACCAAAATAAAGTTTGGAGGTCAATATCAGGAACAGTTTGCAACGACAGATCAATTGACCCAAAACTATTCACTTTTTTCATATCCTTAGGTAATTCCCGAGTTATAAAGGGGTGAACCTCCGCTTCAGCTATGTTAACAAATTGGCAATATTGCCATATATATATATATATATATATATATATAATTTTTTTTCCTCCGATTTTATGTAAATGGTCTTCTCCAATTTCCGTCTTCTCGACCCGAGAAGACGGAAATTGGAGAAAATCGGTTTCATCCGATTTTATATAAATGGTATAATGGTGCAAATGGAGGAGTCTATGTCTGCTCGCTTTACATGGAATATTGCATAGAGTATTTTTCACATATTGTATGGGTAGCTTTAATTTAGTTCAAATATCTATGTACTTCACGCAGTTACTTTCGTACTATTCTATTTCAATGGTCCTCCAAAGATGCTATGTCTATTCCATCTAAATGATATTGTACATATGAGCATCTCTTGTATGTACCCAAACTGGGTGAAGGTTATCATGTAGTCCATAAAGTAGGGGTTAAATAGTTCCAGTGATATTATAACTGCTTTTCATGGAATCCCCTCTATTGAAGTCTATTTACATTTCCAATATCAAGGACCAACCTAGAGTTGCGAATGACCTTAGTAATATCATCCTTCGTAAATTTTGTTGATGTTTATTTGGCTCGAAGAGCTCTCAATCGACGTAGCGCAATCATTCTAGCCCAGAGTGACATCAAAATCTTCGTCACTTCGTCAGATTACTCTACAGTAAACTCATCACCTAACACTGTAAGTTGCTGTACAACGCCATGAAATATATCGTTTTTTGCAGTTCAACAACTATGGACTACGTCACAATATGAAGAATAACATATATTTTTTATGTCAAAAATTATAAATATTGCTCATATATAATAAATAGCAGAAAATATTTCTGTTTTTTTTTCCAAAAAATTATATTTATTGTAAACATTGTTTTCATTGATATTTATGAGCATTTTTATGTTTTGATAATTTCAAACAACATTTTCTAAAAATATTTTAAACAAATAGCGGCATGAACCAAAATGACCTCTCTATGCATATTTTAGTATTAATTATTTGTAATATCTAAAAATATTTCAAGAGGATGCGCCATGTTTGACAACACATTGTTATATATATTTCCAGGGTAGTGCCAGTTTGCATTACACTTCGCAGCAATGTGGTCGGAACTTACGGTCCCTGTTACTGTTCCCTTATTTTGTTTGACGGCAACGGTGCTATGGATTTATTTGAATTATTTACACAACTATTGGAAACGTTACAATGTGCCGCAAATCACACCTCTACCGTTGGTTGGTAATTTGGGTAAAATACTTAGCATGGCTGAACCTTCTGCCAAGGTAATTGAGGAATTTTATAATCATCCCAAGGCGGAGGACAAACCATTTGTAGGAATTTATGTGTTTTATCGACCGGCCATATTACTGCGTGAACCTGAACTTATTAAACGGATTTTAGTCAGAGATTTTCCCAAGTTCAGCAATCGTTTTTCCTGTTCAGATATCGAAGGAGATCCTTTGGGTTCCCAGAATTTATTTATGTTGAAAAATCCTGCGTGGAAGGATATACGCTTCAAATTGACACCGTTTTTCACCAGTGGTAAATTGAAACAAATGTTTCCGTTAATAGCAGAGGTGAGTAAGAAGGAATTCCATTCCAAAAATACTTCATGTTTTATAAAAATAATTATTTCTTTTAAAGGTTGGTGAAAATCTGAATAAATATCTGCTGAAATTCTCTACCTCTGCAGATAGCCCCGAATTCGAATTGGAGTTAAAGGAATTTTGTGCCTTGTACACTACGGATGTTATTGCCACTGTGGCCTTTGGTGTTCAAGCCAACTCATTTGAAAATCCCAATGGCCAGTTTAGACGAAATGGTCGTGAAATATTTCGTTTCAATAAACGTAGAGCCATTAATTTCAGTGTTGTCTTCTTCCTTCCTCATTTGGTTCCCTATTTCGGGGCCAAAGTTGTACCTGACGAACAAACAGAGTTTCTACGTTCCACCTTTAATTATGTCGTTGCCGAGAGGGAAAAATCTGGAAAGATACGCCATGACCTCATCGATATTTTAATTGAATTTAAAAACAGTTCCAAATGCATCGCATCTAAAAATGGCGAGGTGAAATTTGACGGTGATCTTTTGGTAGCCCAAGCAGCAATTTTCTTCACAGCAGGTTTTGAATCGTCATCGGCTACCATGTCTTTCGCTCTCTACGAATTGGCACGAAATCCTGAAATTCAAGAAAGGGTACGAGAAGAGGTGCGCACCGTATTGATAAATAGTGGTGGAAAACTTACATTGCGAAATATAGAATCGTTGGAATATATGCAAATGGTTATAAGTGAAACTTTGCGATTATATCCCCCGTTGCCGTTTTTGGACCGTGAATGTACTGTGGAGAAAGATGATAGCTATTTGTTGGAACCATTTAGCAGTTTTAGCATACCAAAGGGTATGCCCATCTATATACCAGCATATGCTTTGCACATGGATCCAAAGGTAAGATATATATCAATTGATTCCACGTTCTGAAATAGTGGCCATATAAAATTAACGTCCCATTCTCAATTCCCATAGCTCATTTTTCCGAAAAAAAAACTTCAATTTGGCATCTCGGATTTTATTATGTTCATTTATGTGTATTTAGTTTTTTCTTCGTATGGATCCACCCTGTCCATTGATCTTATGGACATGACAGGATCAGTAGGGAGGAATGTTTGTTCAGTATGGTTGAAATCCATATATTTATTACTGTAGCTTACAATAAGAAACTTCGTAGCATCTTTTGTATGTACCCAAATGTGGTGAAGGTACGCATCCGGTTTTTGTACACCCCTAGCTGCTTTATTATATCCTCCACCATAAGATCCCAAAAAATTATTTAATAATTACCTACGTTTACGGGTAGGTCCCATATTTGAGAATTTCAACCATCTGTTTCTTACGTATTTTTCGGTATGTTCAAGGTCCTATCATAACATGAGTTTTCTCCTAGGAGCCTCCATTTATTTTAGATATTTTAATTGTCATCCTCATTCGGCCGGGCCGAATTTAACATCGTTGTTACTTGTTGTAATTAATTATATTCCCAAGTGGAATCATATACCAATACTTAAATTAGATTTAATTGTTTCTTTTCTTTTTCTTTTTAGTACTTCCCGGAACCACAGACCTTTAATCCAGAGCGATTTTCGCCTGAAAATCGTAAAAACATTACACCTTATAGTTATATGCCATTTGGACTTGGACCGCATGCGTGCATTGGAGAACGTTTTGCATATCTTCAAACAAAGGTTGGACTTTTGCAATTTTTACGCAATCATCGCGTGACGTTAAGTCCAAAAAATCCTCATCGAATTAAATTGGATCCCAAAGCATTGATATTACAATCTGAAGGCGGTATCGTATTGAATGTACAACGAGATCCATTACAATATTGAAATAAATTATTTTGAAAAAAATATATATATTTTAATACAAAATAAGTTAAACAACTTTTAGTAAAAATATAACACAATATAGAAAATATTGTCTGCGCTTAAATGGACACTATGACCATCTTGGAAGCCTCCTTTAGAAATGTCAAGACGTGCTAGTGTAATTCGTGTATAACTCATCACTATATGACTGACTCTTTTCACCTTGTCTATATGAGACTCCCTTCAGCTCGTCTATGTCTATTCATTGTTATTGTTCTGTTCGGCTTCATCGTGTTCAGCTCTTTAAAATACCTCATTTCACGTTTGTCGACCTCTCCCACACTATAATTTATTCAAATAATTTCGCATTTAACGTGCAGCATAACTTCTCGTATATCCAACATAACCAGTATTGTTATTGTTTACCATTCAGTCCAATATCAATTTTATTGGCAGTACAAAATGTGGAATTCCTAATTTTGTTGTCCTAGAATTGAGGTTAAGTGTTATATTTATTAACAGTGTCCAGTAGTGTATCTATTACTTTGTTGTCTCGCTTATGTTGCACTGGTCAGCATAGAAAAACAGAAGAAAAACTATTCCGATATTCATGTTTGGTGTAACGTTTTTTTCATGTTGTTGCTTATTTTGACCATTGAATGGCTGTCCAATTGGATAAGATTTCAATTAATAAAAACGTGTTTCTTAAAATATTTTTTGGTTATATTACATCAGCCAATTTAAAGAATGGACATACCTATGAGTATGCATATAGAAAGAATAGGGAGTGGTATAATGTGATAAATATTATTATTTAAGTTAGTGAAGATTAGCTGAAGGATTGGAGATTATATTAGGATGGATAAAAGGAAATCTATTATGCTTCGGAATGCCCGATGCACCGTTCTGTTGTATGATTTGTTGCCATTTTAAAGGTATCTTCATAATGTTTCTCTCATAGAAATCCTGCTCTCTATTTGCAAAAAAACTCTAGTAGTCGATTTTCACAATTCTGCCTAGATACCAATTTTTTATCATTAAAGAAATTTTGCAATTTAAACCAGTAAGGAAATATTAAAAGTCGGACGAGGCCGACTATATGATTCCCTTTACCACTTTGGGTACATGCAAGATATGTTAATATATACAATATCCAATATCCGGACGAAACTATATAGGAGCTATATCTAAATCTGAACCGATTTAAAAAAAACTTCGCAGACATCAGTCAGGATCCAATGCATTACTCTGAGCAAAATTGTGTCCCAATCGGACAACTATTGGAAGTTTGTTGCATCATTCACATAAAATCGGACGAAATTATATATGGGAGCTGTATCTAAATCTGAACCGATTTTTAAAAAAACTTCGCAGACATATATCTAAATATGATTCAGTACTCTGTGCAAAATTTTGTCTCAATTGGACAAATATTGGGAGTTTGGTGCATCATTCACATAAAATCTGACGAAACTATATATTGGAGCTATATCCAAATCTGAACCGATTTTAATTAAACTTTGCAGACATCAGTTTGGACCTAATTCAGAACTCTATACAAAATTTTGCGCCAATCGGACAAATATTGGGAGTTTGGTGCATCATTCACATAAAATCGGACGACTATATATATGGAAGCTATATCTAAATCTGAATCGATTCGCACACATAAGCATGGACCTGATTCAGTGCACTGTGTTGTCCCAATTGGACAAATATTAGGAGTTTGGTGCATTATTTACATAAAATCGGACGAAAATATATATTGGAGCTATATCTAAATCTGAACGGATTGTCTCCAATTTCAATTGGATTCGTCTTTGGGCCAAATAAGTGAACTGTGCCAAATTTCATCCAAATCGGATCATAAATGCGACCTCTACTTTGTTAACAAAAATACATGGACGGACGGACAGACGGACATGCGTAAATCGACTCAGATTCTATACATATTCTCAAAAGAAACCATGGGTCTATCTCGATTCCTTTTGCCTGTTACAAACATATGCACAAAGACATAATACCCTGTACCACAGTGTGGTACTTGGGGATAATTAGTTGTTACCCCTAAACATTCCAAAAATGTTGTGTAAATTTGACAAACCTTGAGTCTTTGATGTAAACCTGACCAAAATATATATGGGAGCTATTACTAAATCTGAACCGGTTTCCATTAAATCTAACAGATTTCATTCCAGACCCATTTCGGCTATCAGTGCAATATTGACTTTCAGTTTAAAGATTTGTCGGGTAAAATTCACTAGAGCCAATGCCTGAGAGCTCGCTCGAATTGCGCACCAAAACATTCTAATAGAAATGTCATATAGCACCGGGCATCACTTGCTCTTGACTAGGCAAGAAATATATAATATACTAGCGGACCCGGCAAACGTTGTTTAGCATAGCAATATTGTTGATGTATAATTCACAAAACAATAGCCCAATATTAAGTTAGCTTTTTCTACCCTTCACGATTTGAGATAGTGGTCTGAAATTTGCACATACATTGCTACTACTCCTAGGATATGTGGTATTGAAAATGTTCAATATTAGTTTACTATTTAGGGTAGCCCCCATATAACGGTACCTCACAATATGAGAATTTGTTACGATTTTTTTTAACAGAATTGGTTGTAATTCAGCAGAAAGCGTCCGTACCAAATATTATCAATATTGGCACATGTTTCGGGGTACCGCCCATATAAACATTCCGTATTTTCATGATTTTGGGTACGGGTTTCAACAGATTGCTTTTAATTTAATATAGGGGACATTTATTGAGTAGAAAAATTATCTACTTATAATTATAAATATTGGCCCAAGTATACGGGTATTTGGCTGTAATTTTATATTTTGGATGATCATTGAGTAGAAAATGTTCCTAACAAAATTTGGTCAAGCTTCCGAAAAGCCTCCATATAATGGCACTCTACATTATATGATCCTTTGAGGATCTGGGCACGTTTTTTAACCTAATCAGCTGTAATTGGTTGTTTTATTTGGTGGCATGAATCCTACTCAAAATTGTCAATATCGGTCCACTCTTCTGAATTTCCAGTTGAGTTTAATGATAGAGTTTTGCAAAGAAAATATCTCGTATATTAGTTTTCTCTGTGATACACATTTTTGGTATCGGATATATGTGAGGTGTTCTATTTACATATAAGTTCAAAGATATGTAAAAACGATTAGGCATATAACTACCTGATTTGATATTTCCCGTGGCATATCAATATTCATTATTACCCATATAATACCCCGAATGTACGCGAATACCCTAAATTGACGCGAACTCGATTCAGAATGTCTACTGATTTTCCATCCTAGCATTAGTCCCAAAATGTACGTGCATCCTATGGAAAATGTGTACATACAATGTTCGCATGTACATTCATGCACATGTACTTCTCAATTATTTTTTGTATTCTCCCAAAAAAATTTCAATACAATGTCATTCAAATTGAACAAAAAAATTAAATATTTTGAAAATTTGAAATGAAACATCTCAAAATAACAACTACAACGTAGTGCAATCAAAATAGTTCGATACTAAATTCGTGGAAATGAAATATGCTTCAAAATATTTTTTTTGTAAATTTTTCTCGGTTTTAAATTTTTTTCACCTTTTAAACCTTCTCCGGCGCTCCACGAAAATTTCAAGACAAAGATAAGAAAAATCCATTCAGCCGTTCTCGAGTTTTAGCGAGACTAACGAACAGCAATTCATTTTTATATATCGACGCCTCCGAACCATAGTATGCTAAGTCGATTAGCATGTTTTAAAGTTCTTTACCTTTTTATATACTACGGTCCTTAATTTACATTCACTGAAATTTTGGTAATCATCGGCCAATCCAAACCAAAGTTATAAGCAAAAATGTACTTAGCATGGCACGTACGATTAAAGAAACGTCCATACTTTGAAAGCTTCTACTGAAAAACTCACTTTTCAGACTTAGCATACTATGGTTCGGAGGCGTCGATATATAGATAGATAGTTGTCCTCTTAGATTTAGAACTAAGAAAGTGATATCATCTGATACTTATACCAACTTGTTTAAGAAGTCAAAGTTCATATCTTAATCCGATCTAAATTATTTCAAATTTATCGTTAGTAGTTAATATTCACATTAAATCTAATGAAAAATATTCCTTTCAAAAATTATATACAATTATATTTTCCAAATGATCAAATTCCAATGTTTTGTAATTATCAAACACATAAATAGAAATAGAAACGAGATCAACCCAGGCATTCCACAATCGATAATAACTCAATTACTCAAATGTCGATAATTTTGTAATATTTCTATGGATATTTGAACTGATTCAAGGTCTTTCGCAAATGCAATTGTTGCATTTAAAATGCATTCAATTAGAATTCGTTCAATGTGGCAAATTTATAGTTTCATGATAATGACATGCCATTCATTGGATTTAATTAACGCCAAAACTATTTCAAAACAATAAATCCACACCAAACTATTTTTCGATGAACGCCCATCACCAGCAGCAACTGCAACAGCAACAACAAACATCAACCGTTTCAATTTGGCAATGGCAGAACTGAGTGGAACACCCATGCCAACAACATCCTCGTCAACATCATCAATGAGTGTGGATTGGCGGACTACTAGTCTAGAGTCTCGTGGCAAAATTTCGGATATTCCAAGCACAGCAACAACAAAGACACAAAAGAACAAACAAAACGTTTAATATTCAACAAAACAAAAACAACTTGAAAACAACTTTGTGGCACGCAAGCCAAAACAAAAAAAATGTAAAATGATACAAATCTATAGCCCACTTCGACGCTGGAGTGCATTCAACTTGAAACTGAAATAATAACAATTTCGAACATTAACACGAATTAACGCAAAAACCACTTTGCCAACAATCCAAAAAAATTGCATTCCAAAACTAGAGCAACGATCGCGGAAAACACGCGCCAATCCAAAAAATACAACAACACCCATTCAAAAAGTAAAATAAACACACTTATGTATGTACGTTGCAACACG